TGAACTAGGGGTGGTGGAGGGGGAGGAGGGTGGGGGGTGGGGGTGAATGGGTGACGGGCACTGAGGGGTACACTTGACGGGATGAGCACTGGGTGTTATTCTGTATGTTGGTAAATTGAACACCAATAAAAATTAATTTATAAAAAAAATAAAAATAAAATGAAACTACTGTAACATTGTGCCAGCTACATTTCAATTAAAAAAACGTATATACCCCCTAAAACTGTAGTGAAGTTTAAATTAATTAAAACACATACAGCCCTTCAAACTCTGTACCGGCTGTCAACATCTAGGTCCACCTTTTAATATTGTGATGCTGGGGTGAGTTTCTAGTAGATTCCATCAATAGAGGGCGCTAGAAGGAGCCTGCAAGGCCTGAGGAAGAGAAGGTTTTGTTGCCCCAGCAACAGTCCTTTATCACATAGCCACAGTAGATTCTAGTCTCCAGCTTCCTTCCACACTCCAAAAACAGCATCACTGCACTTCCTTAGAAACACCTGCACCAGCAAGGTGGGAACCCCTCCCCCCAAGAAGGACACACCTGGCCCCACGGGCCCTCTCCCCTGAGCTTTTGAGGCCAAAGCACCAGCTGGGCAGCCCCTGGGGTCTGTACCCAGCTCAGCAGGGCCCCTCTTCCCAGCGTCTGGGTTCAGTTACCCCCAAACTTCACTCTCTCACTTCACTCTACCCAGGGACCCTGGGATCATGCCCTGAGCCAAAGGCAGACATTTAACCACTGGGCCACCCAGGTGCCCCAAGACCAAAGGATTTGTATAAGCAATCCTCATTTAATCTTTATGTAACTCTTGCAATAAGACTACGGCTAGTGGTTATTATTTTTCCCAAATTTGTAGAAGCCTAAATAACTTGATCTAGGTCTCACAACACATAATTTTTAATCTGGATTCAAACTTAGTTCCAGAACTCCTCCTTATTACCTTGTCTTGTACTTAATTATACATTGTTTGGATCATATGCAAAGGGATTCCTAGCCTTTTCCATCAGACCTTGTACCCTTGAAGGATAGGCACCATGCCTTCTACTTTTCAGAATATATGCGAGAATGAATAAATATTTGACTTAAAATTAATGGATTTGCTGACCAGTATCCTTTACTGTATTTATGTACTAGCTTTGACCATGACATATTAACACTATCACTGAATTAAAGTGGAAGGAATTTTTTAGATGTTTGATAGGAGGTGACTACCAGCTTTGGCAGTCAGCAATTTGGTTATTCTGAAAAGAAAGAACTTTTCATGTTGTTTTGCAAGGAGATGCAAGCTCATTTTTCAGACCATAGACAGTCTTATGAATCTATGTTTTAATATGTTCAGGCTTCTGGTTAAAAAACCAATATCCTTTGAGAGATTATTTAAATATTTATACATAATTGCATACATATATAATGTAGTGGATTGCGACAGAAAATCAGCTAGCATGTTCTGAGCTTCCCAATAAAGATCATGGTACTGATTTCTGATATTCATTTATTCCCTCAAATCCATAAAAAGGTAGCAAGGTAAATCTGGTAGGAAAAAGTGCCAGAGGTTTTGACTTCCCAAATATATCCAGAGCACACATTTTGAGAAGGACTATTTCTTACTTCTCAGGGAAATCACTCTTGATTCTTTACACTTAGTAGTGATCATTTGTAAGAACAAATTCTGGTTGGTAAAAAAGAGGGAAGCCAGAAAAGACAGTGAAGTATTTACCTGTGATTGAGTAAGTGAAGAACTACACTGATACCATTTTGAAATGGCAGCAGGAAGCACGTTTGAATGTAGCAACACAACCAAATAAAACTGAAGGAGAGCTTATTGCTGATAAATAAGAAGTTAGTGAGTTATTTGTATGGGATTATACAAACAACAACAGGGAAACATTCTGATGGGCAGAAGCCATGGTCCCTGAGACAGCTGGATATAAAAGACTCACAGAGAACAACTTTGTAGACAGCAACAAAATGTCTTACTGTGAGTCTTATCTCCAAGGCTGCTGCAGGATCCCCACCACCGGCCCCACCACCACCATCTGCTCCTCTGACCTGTGCTGTCAATGTGGAATTGGCCTGCCCAGCACCTGCCCACACCAGCTCAGCCTCCTTCAGCCCACCTGCTACGACACCTGCCCCCCACCCTGCTGTGTGCCTGACTCCTATGTGTCATCATGTTGGCTGCTCAACAGCTGCCACCCTACTCCAAACCTGAGTGGGATCTCTATCACCACCTGTGTTCAACCCTGTGCACGTGAAGCACCAGGTGCTAGCCAAAGATATGTTCAGGAGCTTGCCCACATTGCCCCAAGAGACAACAATAGTCATTAAGGGCTGCTCAGCAAATGGTCTTTAATTAAAAGCTCTGGAAGAAAACGTTCTGACCCTGTGCTTTCAGTTTTGCAGAATTGTTCTTTCTGTGTTTTGAATGATGACTTACAGTGAGAAGTCGAATAAACACTGTCATGAGCCTCCTCACCTTAAAACTAAATAAGCACCACTGTGCCCCAAACCATGTACTGTCTCGTGTTTAATGCTATAATTACTGCACAACTCTTGACGCATGTGTACATCATAAACCTATAAATACGTCCAGCAGAATGACATTAACTGATGACATCAACATAAACCACATAAGCAAAAAGAGGCCTCACAAGGTTATGTAAATACTTGAAGAAAATTGCCTGAATGGTCAGATATATTAAGCTGTAAGCTTAAAATCATTTTAAATTCCAAGGTCAGCGCCTACTTTTAATTTTAATGTTTTCCTGTCTCTCTAAGTAACTAACTCACATACGTCCGTTTAAAGATTCTGAGAAACTGACAATCAGATATCAACATACAGAAGAGACCCCGAAGACTGAGCTGACCCATATTTTTTCATTGACTCATTTAGGTGAAGCTTTGAATGTAAAACTGTTTTGACAAGTGTAAAGTACTTCACAAATGAATTGTTCTGCTTATGTAAATTATTATTATTATTATAAGGGTATATTCTAAAAATAAATACATACCTTTTTTCATTCTAATCTGTAATTTGATCCAATTCAATATACATTTATCAAATGCCTACTATGTTCCAGGCACTGAATGAAGTACTTGAATAGAGACAAAGAAGATGAAGACATAATTCCCATTTTCAGAGAGTTTGCACTGGGGTGAGGAAGACAGATATAAATGATGAACCATAATATATAACAGACTAACACAAGGTCTAAATATAAAGACAGGCAGCACACTTTGTGAAACCGAAGAATCTAGAAGAACCACCTAAAAGCTACCGTGAAGGAGATATTTGAATTGATGCTTGAGTAGTGAGTAGCATTTGAAAAGTAAAGAATCAGGGAAGGACTGCAAGAAACAGTATGATCTTGGGATCCCTGGGTGGCTCAGCGGTTTAGTGCCCGCCTTTGGCCCAGGGCGTGATCCTGGAGTCTCAGGACTGAGTCCCACATCATGCTCCCTGCATGGAGCCTGCTTCTGCCTCTGCCTGTGTCTCTGCTTTTCTGTCTCTCTCTGTATCTCTCATGAATAAATAAATAATTTTTTTTAAAAAAAAGAAACAGTATGATCACAGTCACAGAGATGTTAAGTACCTAGAAGGCTTTAACCACTTTTATTTGATATGCTTTGTGATACATATCAATATTTAAGCAAAAATCAAGCCAACTTCATTAACGAGTTCTTCCTCTCGTAAAATGCATGAGGTTTATTTACCAAGGACATTTAGTATTTTCCACTGATTTGTTTCAGCTGGGTTTCTTCCCTTTTAATCAGGCCAAGTTGGTTTTCAGTAATGTCTCCTCAGAAACACCCAACCAAAGAATCTGTACTTCATGTTTACTCAACAGCAACTTGCTATCCAACAAATTATGTAATTTAAATTCTACTAACTGAATAGTTTTGTGCTGATCAAGAGGAAGTATGTGAAAATGCTGGAATCTGGATGTTACATATTAGTAACATATTCAGTCCAACTTCCTCATCTGTCAACCTACAGAATGGCAAATCAAGGCCAACTAAGGTGAAGAATGTTGTATAAGGCATTCCTCAAAAGAATTTACAACCCAATTGAAGATCCAAGGTGTGAAAACAAACATTCACAGTAGGAAGTCAGTGAAAAAAAGGATTTCTATAGCTCTAAATCACATTGGATTGGATGCCCTTCCAGAAGCCACTGTTGTTTTATGAACCTATGACTTCTCTTTTTAGTTCGTGTTTCAATTTATTTTAAATTAAGTATAGCATTCATTTGAAAATGAATAAGATGAGGTGATTTTCTTTTACTGGTACATTTAACAAAGGTCAGCAACTGGGTGCATCTTTCTTCCCAAAGAATTTACATTTTGACTCACTATGAGATTGGCATAACTTTGAGAATAAAATTGTAAAAAAAAAAAAAACATAAGAGTAATACAACCTTTGGAAACTTGCAATAGATTAAAAATAATGAAAGGGGTTTCATCTTATTCCATTCTGGCTATCACCCCACTTGCTCAATAGAACCTGAATTATATCCTCAATAAATAAGGTAAATATGTCTGAGGTGCATATAGCCATATGTAACATTCATCTGTAAGTAGCCATGTCCCTATTGACTTTATTGAGAGAATGGTCCATTTAACCGCTTGAGTTACATGTACCAAAATTAGTAATTAAAAATGGAATCATGTTATGCATACTATTTTAAATTAAGGGGGAGGAAAACAGGGAGAAGAATATAGCCTCTGAAACTATAGCTAAATTTTCTCTCAGACTGATTATCCATAATCAAGTTTGGCATTCCAGACCCTGTGAAGATAAAATGCAACCATCTTATGACAAAAATGACAAATCAATGAGTCAAAAACATGATTTACCTTAATAAGGCAGGACTCTCAATGGACAAGTAAATACCAAACTGATTAGAGAATCTTAGTGAAGACAAGTGGGATAAACAAAAATGAGAGGAAGCTTTCTGGTTGGACCAACACCCACCAGGGAGCATATATAAAAGCCTCAAAGCAAGAGGAGACATTTGTATCCCAGAAACCTCATCTTTGCAAGAAACCAGGAGCAAACCAGATTCTCAACACCATGGCTTGCTGTGTTCCCTGCTGCTGCAGCGTACCCACTGGCCCCGCCACCACCATCTGCTCCTCTGACAAATGCTGCCGGTGTGGAGTCTGCCTGCCTAGCACCTGCCCACACACGACTTGGTTACTGGAGCCAACCTGCTGTGACAACTGCCCCCCACCCTGCCATATTCCTCAGCCCTGTGTGCCCACCTGCTTCCTGCTCAACTCCAGCCACCCTACCCCAGGCCTGGAGACCCTCAACCTCACAACCTACACTCAGCCCTCCTGTGAGCCCTGCATCTCAAGCTGCTGCTGAATGATGATTGCTTTGCTCCATGCCTGACAATGAAGAACCCAGAAGCTGTCTATTCAGTATTCACTTGCCTGGGCAGTTTATCAGATGTTGAGGTAGACCAGATGGCCCAGATATGGAAAACCTACTTTTCATTTTAATGGGAAAAAATTGAGACATTTTTTATGGTTATTCGGCTGAATAATCATTTGGATCATTTGGGCAGGTGAACATCATCTATTATCAAAATACTACTGAAATCTGTCAGAGCTCTGACTATATTTTCTTGGTCATGTTGCTTCTTGGATCCTATTTCTTATACTGGATATTTTCATAGAGAAAAAAATTCTTGATGGGCTTTCCAATAAACTATTTCTCTGGCAAGATATGTTGTTTGTGTACATTCTTTTTTTTGGTATATTTCTTTAATTTTAAAAAAGGTAAAGATAAGATGATTATTTTATTTTTTTAAACTGATTAGAATGATTGGAACTAGCTAGCTTCCTAGGCTTCCTAACTTCAAATTGGTTATCTTTTATGTTCTCCCCTTTTCCTCATCCAAATACAATTTGGAGGTGAGACAGTATTTATTTACCTATATTTTGCTGCGTAAATCACATTATTAATTCACATAATCCTTAAAACATCACTCATAGATGAGAAAAATGAAGCTTTAAGAATTGCTCAACATTCTCAAAGTTACTTAGTAAGAAATCCAGAATTCAGGTCTTCATATGTTTGACTTTAAAGCCCAATTCTTTCTACCAAATGACAGAGGCTCCAATACTAAGAGCCAGAAGTTGAGTGAACAGATAGGACATCAACTTAAGACATGCAAGAAAAAATTTTAAATGTAAGAATCTTTAGCAAAATCATCATATCTGATTGTAATAAAAAGGGCTCTATTGGCTCACAGATTAAAAGTAGCAGATATTGGGCAGCCCAGGTGGCTCAGTGGTTTAGCGCCACCTTCAGCCCAGGGCATGACCCTGGAGACCCAGGATCAAGTCCCACATCAGGCTCCTGGCATGGAGCCTGCTTCTCCCTCTGCCTGTGCCTGTGCCTCTCTCTCTGTGTGTGTCTCATGAATAAACAAATAACATCTTTAAAAAAAAAGTAGCAGATATTCAGTTCTAAGATCTGGGTCATTTAGTGGGCCTACCAATTTTGACTTCACTTTTTGACTTCACTTTCCCTTAAGGAAAACTTAAGTGAAAACTCTAGAATCAGGGCACTAGGAATATATCTCTACTAGCCACCATCCTCTGCACAGAAGTTCAACGTCAGTGATCAACAAAATGCCAAAACTCTTCAGTCATGAGCTAAGAAGTAGAGCTAGAGTCTTGATTAAACATGATTTAATCTATGCCTTAATTTTACTTCTTTTTACCAACCTACTTAATTTTATCTTGAGCAGATTATCCTTTTTCCAACCTTACTTAGAGAGAGAATACCTATATAATATATATATAACACATATCATGATGTATACATGTATAATACATGTATAATGTATATATGTGTCATTCATATACAAAGGCACAAGTCAACATCTGAAAAGCATTGAGCTAAAACCGAAAGAATATATGCAAAAAAAAAAAAAAAAGGCAGGGCAAGGAAGCAAGGAAGGGACGAAGTAAATGCCTTTCAATAAACATGTTTCTAAATGCCCTTAGTGTGCCTGCCAGTCTCTCCAGAGAGGGATTTCTCAAAGGATCTCACAGGCTTGTTAGTGGTCTGAATGAAGAGAACTTAGCAGCCACAGGGCACATGGAACACAACCTACAATACTGCCAATAAGGGATTTAGTATATTCACTCATTTGTTTGGCCAGTATTTCACGAGTGCTTCCCCTATGCCAGGCACCATATCTGTGCTAGAAGTATAAAGATAAAAGAAATGTTATTACCTAGAGTGCTCTCAAGTTTCTTTCATATCTGGTGAGAGACAAGTAAGTTATTTTTTTAAGATTTATATATTTATTTGGGGGGGGCAGAGGGAAAGAACCTTCAAGCACACTCCCTGCTGAGCACAGAGCCCAAAATGGAGCTCAATTTCATAACCCATGAGATCATGGCTTGAGCCAAAACCAAGAGTCATATGCTTAACTGCCTGACCCAACCAGGAGCCCCAAAACAGGTAAGTTATTATAATCACAACACATGTGTTCTACATACAGTGTATGAATATATTTATAATGCCATGTGGTTCCTGCCGTGACAAGGTGTGAGCAGCAAGGCATGCAAGCACACAGAGGAACTAATCCCAGATTTGATGATTCAGTGTCAGGGGGAGGGAGAATTATGGAAAGCCTCTGAGCTCTCCAGGCTAAGCATTGAAAGATGACAAGGCAGGAGAGGTGGTGTGTGTGTGTGGGGGGGTGCTGTTCCAGACACAACAGCAGCTTACTAACTCATGGATTGAGTGCACTGAAAATGGAGAGAAGATGGTAAGGGGAGGAGGAAAGAAGAAATGCAGAGACCCTAAGGTTGGGGCTCCCTAAGCCAAGAGCTTTAAGACTAAAACCTATAAGCAAAGAGAGATTTTTTTTTAATTTTTTTATTTATTTATAGAGACAGAGAGAGAGGCAGAGACATAGGCAGAGGGAGAAGCAGGCTCCATACTGGGAGCCCGACGTGGGACTCGATCCAGGGTCTCCAGGATCACGCCCTAGGCTGCAGGCGGCGCTAAACCGCTGCGCCACCGGGGCTGCCCCAAAGAGAGATTTGAAGCAAGAAACTAACAATCATATTTTGTTTCTTTTTATTATCAACTTTTAATTTATGTCTTCACTATCACCAATACCCCTGTAGGGCTAAGGGCAAGCCACCCTGAAATGTGTCACATTGGCATACTGATTTTTTGTACTGATTATTTTAAATAAAAATTACTTAAGAGATGGCCTATGCAAGGACATCCAGCCCCTCTTCTGTCTCAGTGAAAGCAGGAAATAAATCTCCCCTTGTGAAAGGTACCCTCCCTGTAACAGGAGGTAAAGACAATCCTCATTATCACGAGTTAGGCAATGTAGAGCTGAGAAGGATGTATAAACAAACCTTGCTACCTTTTACTAATTTACTGCCGTAGCCCAGTTTCTGTTTACCATTCCTTACTATTTGAAGCTCCCAAAGATAAGTTTTCTTTGACCTGTCAATTTCTCACATCTTGTCTCTTTGCCCTCAAAATATAAAAATTGCCTGCTTTGGTAATTTTTTTAGGTCTCAACTTCATTATTTGCCTTCCATATGCACATAATAAAACTTTGGTGTTTTCTCCTCCTAATCTGTCTCATGTGAATTTAATTCTTGGGCCAGCTGGAAAACCTTTAATGGTAGAGGAAGAATTTCTCCTTCCCCACACTCCCATTGACTATAGACAGTATAATTAAAACTGGGCAAGTTCTTGTGTGTGTATGTGTATGTAGATTTTCAGCAACTTGAAAATCTACTATCTAATCAAGAATCACCATGCTTTTCCTACATTCACTTAAAGGAAAAGGGGCTCTTTGTTTCTAAAAATAAAAGGTTTAGTATCTCTGACACATACTTTAAACTTACATGTTAAACCACAAAAAAAGGGTAGCTCAATTTCAATAGGTTCTATATTTATTATACAAGAAGTTAGTCACCAGGCCATCTAAGGCAAATTAGCTCACCTCTCTAGGATTCACTGTCTTAATTTACAAACAAAGGAGAGTTATTCCCAGGTCTCTTAGACCATGGCAAAGAGAAAAAATTTTAATAAAGTGTTGCAAATCTTTTCAATAAGAGAGATGTTTATTATCATAAGCTTATTATTTTACAACTGTTTCTAATCTATAACTTTACATATTATTTGTAATTATGGAAACATAACATTCTACACAGAACAGTAACAATTTCTCTAGCCTTATAAGCCTGACTCAAAGTAACACTGCATTCTTTTTTTTTTTTTTATAAATTAATTTTTATTGGTGTTCAATTTACCAACATACAGAATAACACCCAGTGCTCATCCCGTCAAGTGTCCCCCTCCGTGCCCGTCACCCATTCACCCCCACCCCCCGCCCTCCTCCCCTTCCACCACCCCTAGTTCATTTCCCAGAGTTAGAAGTCTTTATGTTCTGTGTCCCTTTCTGATATCTCCCACACATTTCTTCTCCCTTCCCTTATATTCCCCTTCACTATTATTCATATTCCCCAAATGAGTGAGAACATACACTGTTTGTCCTTCTCCGATTGACTTACTTCACTCAGCATAATACCCTCCAGTTCCATCCACGTTGAAGCAAATGGTGGGTATTTGTTGTTTCTAATGGCTGAGTAATATTCCATTGTATACATAAACCACATCTTCTTTATCCATTCATCTTTCGATGGGCACCGAGGCTCCTTCCACAGTTTGGCTATTGTGGACATGGCTGCTAGAAACATCGGGGTGCAGGTGCCCCGGCGTTTCATTGCATCTGAATCTTCGGGGTAAATCCCTAACAGTGCAATTGCTGGGTCATAGGGCAGGTCTATTTTTAATTCTTTGAGGAACCTCCACACAGTTTTCCAGAGTGGCTGCACCAGTTCACATTCCCACCAACAGTGTAAGAGGGTTCCCTTTTCTCCGCATCCTCTCCAACATTTGTTGTTTCCTGCCTTATTAATTTTCCCCATTCTCACTGGTGTGAGGTGGTATCTCATTGTGGTTTTGATTTGTATTTCCCTGATGGCAAGTGATGCAGAGCATTTTCTCATGTGTGGAATCAGAAAAGACCCCGAATAGCCAGGGGAATTTTAAAAAAGAAAACCATAGCTGGGGGCATCACAATGCCAGATTTCAGGTTGTACTACAAAGCTGTGGTCATCAAGACAGTGTGGTACTGGCACAAAAACAGACACATAGACCAATGGAACAGAATAGAGAATCCAGAAATGGACCCTGAACTTTATGGTCAACTAATATTCGACAAAGGAGGAAAGACGATCCACTGGAAGAAAGACAGTCTCTTCAATAAATGGTGCTGGGAAAATTGGTCATCCACATGCAGAAGAATGAAACTAGACCACTCTCTTGCACCATACACAAAGATAAACTCAAAATGGATGAAAGATCTAAATGTGAGACAAGATTCCATCAAAATCCTAGAGGAGAACACAGGCAACACCCTTTTTGAACTTGGCCACAGTAACTTCTTGCAAGATACATCCACGAAAGCAAAAGAAACAAAAGTAAAAATGAACTATTGGGACTTCATCAAGATAAGAAGCTTTTGCACAGCAAAGGATACAGTCAACAAAACTCAAAGACAACCTACAGAATGGGAGAAGATATTTGCAAATAACGTAACACTGCATTCTAAATAAGAGAGCGATTTCTTTCTGCCATGGAATTATGTGAGAATCTGCAAACTCCTCTG